CATTTAGGGGTAAGGTAGGTTACATGGAGTTAATTAGATAGTACTTAGTTTTCATCTGAAACTGGTTGAGAGAAGTACAGCCTTTGACATTATTGGGAAGGTCATTCCACATTCCGGGTACCTTGATTTGTAGAGCATTCCTAGTTTGATTAAGTCGTACTCTTGGAATATCAAATAGGTATTTGTTTCTGGTGTGGTGCCCATGGGTTCTGTTACAACCTTCTAAGAAGCTTTTAAGGTCAGGATTGACATTACAATTCAGAGTTTTAAATATATAGAGTACACATGAGAGGATGTGCAGTGACTTAATATCTAACATATTCAGAGATTTGAGTAAGGGTACCGAGTGCTGTCTGGGGCCAGAGTTAGATATTGTTCTAATAGCAGCTTTGTGTTGGGTAATTAGAGGACGTAAATGATTTTGGGTAGTAGAACCCCAAGCACAAATACCATAGTTGAGATAAGGATAGATGAGAGAGTAATAGAGCGTCACCAGGGCAGGGCGAGGTACATAATATCTGATCTTAGAAAGAATGCCAACAGTTTTAGAAACTTTTTTTGCTATATTTAGAATGTGTCCCTGGAAATTCAGCTTGTTATCGATGAGGACACCAAGGAATTTACCATCAACTTTACTACTGATTTGTATATTGTTTATTCTTAGATTAATTTCATTTGAGGATTTATTACCAAACAAAATATAGAAAGTTTTGTCAATGTTAAGGGTGAGTTTGTTAGCAGTTAGCCAAAGATGGACTTTATTTAGTTCAGTATTCACAGTGACATTTAGAGCAAGAGGGTCAGGACTGGAGAAAATGAAAGTTGTGTCATCAGCAAATAAGATTGGTTTGAGGTGTTGAGAGGCATTTGGAAGGTCATTAATGTAGATGAGAAAGAGGAGAGGGCCAAGTATGCTGCCCTGTGGAACACCAATGTTTATGGGTAGTGTAGGAGAAATGGAATTATTCACAGAAACATACTGGAGCCTGTCAGTAAGGTAAGACTGAAGGTATTGCAGGGAGTGACCTCTGACTCCATAATGATGTAATTTAAGAAGAAGGTTTTGGTGGTTGACAGTGTCAAAAGCCTTACGTAGGTCCACAAATAACCCAACAGGGAACTCATTTTTATCAAGAGCTGTATGTATCAAGTTAATCATACTAATAAGTGCATCGTTAGTGCTTTTATTGGGTCTGAAACCATATTGGCAAGAGCTAAGTATATTGAGTTTGGCTAGATATGAGTAAAGCTGCTTGTAGATTAGCTTTTCAAATATTTTTGACAAGGTTGGCAGAATTGAGATAGGTCTGTAATTGTTGACATCAGTGAGATCACCACATTTGTGGACTGGGGTTACTCTCGCTTTTTTTTTAGAATATCCGGAAAGGTTTGGAGTTCAAGTGATTTGTTGAAGAGCAATGCAATGGCAGGAGCTAGAAATCTGGAGGCTTTTTTGTAAATTAGAGATGGTATCTCATCAAGGGCGCTTGACTTAGTTTTAAGGGAAAGGATTACCTCATTAACATCAGAGGAATTAGCGGGAGCTAGGTACAGAGACTCTGGATAGTTACCTGTAAGGTAGTCTTTAATATTAGTGAGTGAGGATGGAATATCATGAGCAAGGGATGTACCAATGGATGAAAAGAACCTATTGAATTCAATAGCAGTGTCTGAGGCCGAAAGCACACCATCGTCATTGGATAGGAGAATTGTTTTTTTATTCAAAATCTTTTTTGAACCTAATATTTGGGAGATAGTGCTCCATGTTTTCTTAATGTTGCCCTTAATTTGGGTAAATTTATTTTCGTAGTATTTTATTTTGGCTCTTCTAATTATTTTAGACAGCATGGATGAGTAAATCTTTGAAAATTCTTTGGAGACGACTCCTAACCTATACTTCTTTTCAAGGTCATGTTTTTTATTAATAGATTTAAGTATACCCTTTGTAAGCCATGGAGTGTTTAACCTTTTATTTGTAACTTGTTTCGTTAGCATTGGACAGTGGGAGTTATAAAGGTTCAGAGTTTTCTGAAGAAATGTTTGCACTGCTAGGTTGATGTTCACTATGTCACCTAATTCAGCCTCCCAGTTGATATTAGCAGCAGCAGCAATAAAGTTGCTTATAGAAGTTTCATTGTGCAGCCTAAAGCTTATCTTCCTTGTATCTAGAGGTGGTTTATTAATGTTGGTTAGGAGAAATGAGGGGTAATGGTCTGTGGTCCTATCAATGATTATCCCTGAAGTAAGTGGAGAGGTTATGTTAGTCCAGATGTGGTCAAGAGCAGAGGCAGTACTATCAGTGATTCTAGTAGGTCTAGTGATTAAGGGTATGAGGAAGCAGGAATTCATACAGTTGAGGAAACTAGCAGCAGGAGGGTTTTCAGGCTCGCAGAGGTCAATATTAAAGTCCCCTGCGATAATTAGATGGTTTTTGTTCAGTCTGTTATCTAGTATTAGATTTCTAAGGTTAGAGTTGAATTCGGACACATCAGTGTTAGGAATTCTATAGACTGCTCCCACAGTCAGGACAGACTCAGCACCCTTGACTCTGAAACTGGCAAAGATATACTCCCCACAGGAGTCTCTAGTTCTAATTACTTTTAAGCATGTCAGTTCTTGGTGGTAGTAAAGAGCAGTACCACCACCTCTCTGAATTGGTCGACAGTTGTGAATTGCTGAGTAGTTTGGCATGTTAAAGAGTTGAGTAGTATCCTCTTTTAACCACGTTTCAGTAAGTATAACAAAAGAGAATTTGTTGTCAACAGTTTGAATCAAAGCACTAACATCAAAGTGTTTGCTTAGAGATCTTACATTCAAGTTAATTACAGAGATATTGTGATTATGTGTTAATCATGTGCTGTAAAATATCTGCAATTTTATCATTAAAGTGATGATTGTCATAGATACTGGATAAGAGGTTTAGTTCAGGGTCTATACTTGTTTGCATAGTATGTAAAAATAAGCATCTTATAGCTTCGTAATTACAATTGTTACTTAACCTATTATAGGTATAGGTTAGGTAATAATTGTAATTACGAAGCAATAAGATGCTTATCTTAACATACTAAGTAGGTTAGGTAAGGTCGGTGTTTTCTATGAAGCTTTTCAAGGGAAACTATTATGTTAAGTATGTCACCTATGCACATATTTAATAAGTCAATATTGACTTATTAAATTTGCGAGAACGGGTTGTTGCATAAGAGGGCTGGTTGTAGGAAACCAAAGCAAAAAAGGCAATTACAAAATAAAAAATTGATATAAAAGGGGGGAAAAATATAAATACAACGGGGCCTCGACTTACGATGCTAATCCATTCCCAGACATGGATCGTAAGTCGAAATATCGTAAGTCGAAGCGATTTTTCCCATAAGAAATAAAGGGAATTGAATTAATCCGTTCCCCACCCTCCAAAATATTAACATACAAATACATTTTATACTGAATACAATGTTTTTTTCTAGCTACAATACAGTACCTAAGTTTATCTTACCTTTATGGAAGGCTCTTGATGGTGTATGGAAGATGGTGATGAGGGGGGAGGAGGAGAGTTGTTACTGTTTGGAAGGGGAGTCCCCTTCCATTATCACATCAGGCAGTGATGTTTTCTCTGGGATACACACTCTCCAACGTTTTGCCTGAACACCACTAGGACCTGGTTGTGGTTCAGTGCTTGTTTGTCTCACTACAAATTTGTCATGAGACATTTTTTTTTCCCTTCATTTTAACATTTGTCTGTAATGATGCATCACTTTAGCACCCATAATGTCCTTTCTCTTAGCCAGTATGGTGGATATCGTTGACTGATTTTTCTTGTACTGCCTAGCCAGTCCAACAACCTGCACACCATCTTCATATTTACGAATGATCTTTTGTTTCTGCTCTATGGTCATCCTTACATGGGATTTCATATGTTGAACCTTACCACTGACTTTCCTGGGACTCATGACGTGATATATAATAATTACTTTAATGTTCAAAATGCAAAAAATCACCACAAAAGCGAAATTTCTTATAGGCGCGATCGTCACTAAGCGGACAGCTGTAGTTAACTGAGGCAGGTCGGCCGCGTGACCGAGAACCATTGAGTCGCATTTTTTGATGAAATTTACATCGTAACTCGGTATGTAGGGTCAATCCTAAGTCGAGGTGCCACTGTATATAGAAGACTATACAAGACAAACACGAAACAAAACAAAAAATGAGGTAGGTTGCTTACAAATACTCTCAGGTACTAGTACACTAAAAGTAATAATTTCCATTTTGAGACACAGGCAAAGTTGGCACAGGCACCTCCAAACAGGATACACACAGGAACAGGCACACAGGCAGGATAAACACCTCCAAAGGATACCTGATCAACCAGGCTGTGACTCAACGTTAGGCTGCAAGCAGCCGCGTCCAACAGCCTGGTTGATCAGTCCAGCAACCAGGCCTGGTCGACGACCGGGCCGCGGGGACGCTAAGCCCCGGAAGCACCTCAAGGTAACCTCAAGGTAGGCACACCGAGTTGGTGGTAGAGTCTGCACATTTTTAGCCATTCTCCTCCTCTTGCTAAAATAAACACACAATAATCTACACCGAAAAATAGTAGAGGGGCTGGTCCCAAACCTGCACACAGAAATAACACCACATGAGACCAGAAGACATGGCAGGATGTGCAGAATACCCCCGTTGAAGAGCAGAGGTGCAACAGGTACCCTGGTGCAACAGGTACCTTGAGACTGTTGGATGCGGCTGCCCACAGCCTGACATATGAATCACAGCCTGGTTGATCAAGGTATCCTTTGGTCAGGTCAGCCTGGTCAGAGATCGGGCCGCAAGGGCATTGATCCCCGAAATCAATGCAAGGTAACCTAGCAGTAAATAGTTTAGTTGGAAGTTAGACAGTTGCTACGGGTTGGTTTCTGGGTAGTCATAATAGAGGGAAAGATTGGTTAGAAAGGCGGGGACCAAAAGCTAAGTGCTTAATTCTGCAGGTACAAATACTATAAGAGAGTCACCTTGGCCGGTGGAGTGCATCACCTTCACCACCTTCTTCATCTTGGTCAGCCCCTCCCGATCCTTGTCCAGGCCCTGGAATGAGAGAGAAATAGCATGAGATGCTGCTGGGGATGGAGGGAAAGTTAAGAGGAAGAACAGATAACATTGTGTTTTGTCAGGCTGAGTGGGAGGGTGTGTTAGGCCGGGTGAGAGGGGGTGCTAGGACGGGTGAGAGGGGGGTGCTAGGCCGGCTGAGAGGGGGGTGCTAGGCCGGCTGAGAAGGGGGTGCTAGGCCGGCTGAGAGGGGGTGCTAGGCCGGCTGAGAGGGGGGTGCTAGGCCGGCTGAGAGGGGGGTGCTAGGCCGGCTGAGAGGGGGGTGCTAGGCCGGCTGAGAGGGGGGTGCTAGGCCGGCTGAGAGGGGGGTGCTAGGCCGGCTGAGAGGGGGGTGCTAGGCCGGCTGAGAGGGGGGTGCTAGGCCGGCTGAGAGGGGGGTGCTAGGCCGGCTGAGAGGGGGGTGCTAGGCCGGCTGAGAGGGGGGTGCTAGGCCGGCTGAGAGGGGGGTGCTAGGCCGGCTGAGAGGGGGGTGCTAGGCCGGCTGAGAGGGGGGTGCTAGGCCGGCTGAGAGGGGGGTGCTAGGCCGGCTGAGAGGGGGTGCTAGGCCGGCTGAGAGGGGGTGCTAGGCCGGCTGAGAGGGGGTGCTAGGCCGGCTGAGAGGGGGTGCTAGGCCGGCTGAGAGGGGGTGCTAGGCCGGCTGAGAGGGGGGTGCTAGGCCGGCTGAGAGGGGGTGCTAGGCCGGCTGAGAGGGGGGTGCTAGGCCGGCTGAGAGGGGGGTGCTAGGCCGGCTGAGAGGGGGGTGCTAGGCCGGCTGAGAGGGGGGTGCTAGGCCGGCTGAGAGGGGGGTGCTAGGCCGGCTGAGAGGGGGGTGCTAGGCCGGCTGAGAGGGGGGTGCTAGGCCGGCTGAGAGGGGGTGCTAGGCCGGCTGAGAGGGAGTGCTAGACCGGGTGAGAGGGGGGTGCTAGGCCGGCTGAGAGGGTGTGCTAGGCCGGCTGAGAGGGTGTGCTAGGCCGGGTGAGAGGGAGTGAACAGTTGAGGCCAGGCCGTCGGCCGGACGGGGGACTCTGCCTGTCAATCACCTCCACCCCTTCCTCTCCTCTATCCAAGTTAGGCTTTCAGACACTTGGAGAGTTGAACTGTAAGGTGACAAATTTTGTGTTTCCAACTGAAAGTGTTGAGTTATAAATATATATACTTTATTTTTGAGATATACACAAGAGTTGTTACATTCTTGTACAGCCACTAGTACGCGTAGCGTTTCGGGCAGGTCCCTTGGAATACTTTCAGGGGCAGTCAGCTGTAGTATTCTCGACTTCTTGTGTGGTGACTCGCATTGAATCTTGTATCTCACATCTTGACATAGTGAACAGGAAGTTAAATTGCTTGAATTATGATACTTATGTTAAATATAAAATTGATGAATTTATTGTTTAAATTGCCTTTAATTTTGTTCCCTAGATCTTGGATTTTCTGGTATAAAGCAAGCTAGAGTGTAGAGTAATTCAGAGTTTATTGACTTGAGGATTCTTAAGATTACCAGCCTTTATTGACTTAAGATTGTCCAGTTATCTGTGCATGGGAGGGTCGTGGGTTTGCGCGCTCCGTGAATAAACTTCAATATATTCGGTCATATTAGGATTACAGTGATATAACACGGATCACAGTTATCACAAAGTGTAAAACCACATTTAGCAATGAAAAATATAGTGATGCCATTAGAACTTTGTGTTTAATAGAGAATAACCACCTCTCACCATCCCACGTGGGAACGTCTAGTGCCTACCCGAGGCCTAAGTCTACATATACTTACCTCGGTATACTTAGACTATAGTGAACAGTGATACGGTGAATAGTGAACGGTAACAAAACAGGCATAAAGGCCTGAAAGTGTAGGAAAATTCCCACGTGGAAAATTTGGAACGTATAATTCAGTGAATAGTGTGGCAACATGCATACCAGACTGTGTGTACAGGGGCCACGAGGCTTGATCTGTGTACAAATCTACAAGGGCCGTGACGAGGATTCGAACCTATTCGAATCGATTCGAACCCGTGAACCTCGTCACGGCCCTTGTCGAGTTGTTTTTTTGATGTATCACGCTATTGTGATTTCTGTGTGTATTGATCTGTGCACACATTCTGTAGGCTGTGAAGTGTCGCTCCACCACCCCCCCACCCTTTACCACTAGTCAACAACCACCGGTCCACTGCCTTACCACCACCACCACTGATCAGAAGCATTATGGTCAGAATGCCTTTAGTAAAGATGGGCACAGAATGCAACAAGGAAGTAGATTGCCACCAGAGCTTCCAGTGCCAACTATGTTCAGCAGCCACACACAGTAAATGTGCCAACATGTCAAATAATGCCAGGAGAATTGATCCCAGAGACCACTCGGTGTACTGGTTCTGCAAAAAGGATAATATTACCGTCTTGAAGATGATCGCAATTCTTGATAAAACCCCAGCAGAGCACAGAGAATCACTTCTAACTGCCTGCACGGAATTCTCCAATGTTTTCAAACAAATTGTCAAGGACACCCTGGCAGAACCAGAATTGGAGCTACATCTCAGCACGTCGAGGCCGGATGCGACGTTGGCGTCGGGGGGGGGGGGGGCCGGATGCGACGTTGGCGTCGGGGGGGGGGGCCGGATGCGACGTTGGCGTCGGGGGGGGGGCCGGATGCGACGTTGGCGTCGGGGGGGGGGGCGGATGCGACGTTGGCGTCGGGGGGGGGGGCCGGATGCAACGTTGGCGTCGGGGGGGGGGGGGGCCGGATGCGACGTTGGCGTCGGGGGGGGGGGGGGCCGGATGCGACGTTGGCGTCGGGGGGGGGGGGGATGCGACGTTGGCGTCGGGGGGGGGGGGCCGGATGCGACGTTGGCGTCGGGGGGGCGGATGTGACGTTGGCGTCGGGGGGGGCGGATGCGACGTTGGCGTCGGGGAGGGGCGGATGCGACGTTGGCGTCGGGGGGGGGGGGGGGGGGCGGGGGGGGGGCGGATGCGACGTTGGCGTCGGGGGGGGGGGCCGGATGCGACGTTGGCGTCGGGGGGGGGGGGATGCGACGTTGGCGGATGCGACGTTGGCGTCGGGGGGGGCCGGATGCGACGTTGGCGTCGGGGGGGGCCGGATGCGACGTTGGCGTCGGGGGGGGGGCGGATGCGACGTTGGCGTCGGGGGGGGCCGGATGCGACGTTGGCGTCGGGGGGGGGGGCGGATGCGACGTTGGCGTCGGGGGGGGGGGCCGGATGCGACGTTGGCGTCGGGGGGGGCGGATGCGACGTTGGCGTCGGGGGGGGGCGGATGCGACGTTGACGTCGGGGGGGGGCCGGATGCAACTTTAGCGTCGGGGGGGGGCGGATGCAACTTTGGCGTCGGGGGGGGGGGGCGTCGGGGGGGGGGGCGGATGCAGCTTTGGCGTCGGGGGGGGGGGCGGATGCAACTTTGGCGTCGGGGGGGGGGCCGGATGCAACTTTGGCGTCGGGGGGGGGGCCGGATGCAACTTTGGCGTCGGGGGGGGGGCGGATGCAACTTTGGCGTCGGGGGAAGCCGGATGCAACTTTGGCGTCGAGGGGGGGCCGGATGCAACTTTGGCGTCGAGGGGGGGGGCAACTTTGGCGGATGCAACTTTGGCGTCGGGGGGGGGGCGGATGCAACTTTGGCGTCGAGGGGGGGGGCGGATGCAACTTTGGCGTCGAGGGGGGGGCCGGATGCAACTTTGGCGTCGGGGGGGGGCCGGATGCAACTTTGGCGTCGGAGGGGGGCCGGATGCAACTTTGGCGTCGGAGGGGGGCCGGATGCAACTTTGGCGTCGGAGGGGGGCCGGATGCAACTTTGGCGTCGGGGGGGGGCCGGATGCAACTTTGGCGTCGGGGGGGGCCGGATGCAACTTTGGCGTTGGGGGGGCCGGATGCAACTTTGGCGTCGAGGGGGGGCCCGGATGCAACTTTGGCGTCGGGGGGGGGCGGATGCAACTTTGGCTTCGGAGGGGGGCCGGATGCAACTTTGGCGTCGGGGGGGGGGGGCGGATGCAACTTTGGCGTTGGGGGGGGCCGGATGCAACTTTGGCGTTGGGGGGGGCCGGATGCAACTTTGGCGTTGGGGGGGGGCCGGATGCAACTTTGGCGTTGGGGGGGGGGCGGATGCAACTTTGGCGTTGACGGGGCCGGATGCAACTTTGGCGTTGGGGGGGCCGGATGCAACTTTGGCGTTGGGGGGGCCGGATGCAACTTTGGCGTTGGGGGGGGGCCGGATGCAACTTTGGCGTTCGGGGGGCCGGATGCAACTTTGGCGTTGGGGGGGGGCTGGATGCAACTTTGGCGTTGGGGGGCCGGATGCAACTTTGGCGTTGGGGGGCCGGATGCAACTTTGGCGTTGGGGGGCCGGATGCAACTTTGGCGTTGGGGGGGCCGGATGCAACTTCGGCGTTGGGGGGCCGGATACGATGTTGGCGTCGGGGGGGCCGGATACGATGTTGGCGTCGGGGGGGCCGGATACGATGTTGGCGTCGGGGGCGCCGGATACGATGTTGGCGTCGGAGCCGGATGGAATGCTTGCGTCGGGGCCGGATGTAATGTTGGCGCCGGACGTGACGTTGGGGTCGGGCGCGGTATCGGCACCTGAACCGGGCAACAGGGTTTTTTGAAACAAACGAAACAAGGACCCAAAATCTGCCAGTATTATAAATGGGGGATCTGTAAGCATGGGATATCGGGGAGAACAAATGGTCCATGTAAATATGATCATCCCAGAAAGTGCAGGACCCTTCTTAGTACAGCTAAATGTACCAAAAGCTGTAATCTCTCTCACTCAGAACTGTGCAAGAACTCTTTAAATAAGAATGAATGTTTCAACACACAATGTCCAGCTGTTCATATACAAGGTACCAAGAGAATAAAACCGACAAACCACCTTGATGAAAGCAGCCACAACATCATGGACACATTGTCCAGGATGAATTTTTAGCACGAGGAGGAGGAGAAGAATGGCTAAAAATGACCAGACTCTACCACCAACTCGGTCAAATGCTAAAGAGGA